GAACCCAGAATAATTTATGACAGAATGGTGGAGTGTACCAAAGATTACGTAAGAGATTGCGTTAGAGGCCTTGTGCCCGATAATGATATTGAAGCCTTTTTAACGGAGGCAGCTAAGCAACTGAAATCTGAAGACTTTTACTGCAAGGATGGATTGTTTTCCAAGCCAATTCTGATAGACGAACAGAAAAAAGAAATCCCATGCAATGAAACATTTTTCAACGCATCCAGAGTATGTGGAGACACATTTCAAACGAAGTTTAGGAGAAACAGGGCTGACAAAAGTCTTTGCAAGTATGTTCAATATTTGAGAAAGTATTCTTGGATTGTAGTGCTGAGAAATTAAATGTAGAGAGGAAGGCGCTTTTTGGTTGCACTGAATGTTACAAAAAATAATAGTAATAATACTAGCTTTATATAGTGAGTGATCAAACAAAATGAATTTTTTTTCTGCATTATATTCTGCTATGCACCTCACCTCAAAATTCTTTGGCGTATTCGTTGAATTCAAGATTGAAGACGTTTTACTCTTGACTTAAAGACTTTATTTTCATTAATTTTTTTGTATTGTCATTGTTGTCAATAATTATATCAAATTTAATGGCTCGGAATAAGCTACTTACACTCAATTTAAAATCATATTTTCATTCATAGAGAATTCACGGCCGCAAAGTCATGTTTAAAGGAAGCAGTCGATCAATATTGTCAATTTGACGCAGACGCAGCGGAAATATTACAACCGGCCTTTGATGGGTACAATCCATTCTGTATTGTTTCATCCGAGGAGGAAGGTGAGATATCATCATAGGCGATAAACAAATAAACAAACAAACAAACAATGTTCAGACATTCTCTGAGGATACTTTTTGCTAACTGCGTGATAATATCATATGTGACAATCGTCACTTGAAGAAATGATGTAAAATGAGCTTTTAAGAATCAAAGCGTGCCAGGAAACAGAATTTCAATCAAAGAGCTGAGAATAAGCCAAAAAAGGGTGAAAAGCAAGGGTACGGGTCGGGAAGAAACAGTTATTTGAAGAACATAAAAACTTCACGTCAAATCAAGGCAAAAAATCCTTGACTTTTCTCCTGTCTTTAACGGGAATGTATCTCGTCCCTCAAAACCTGAACACAACAATGATTTGGCCAGAGCCTCTCAAGATTATCATTAGAAAAACTGATAATGATAATATAGCTATACTGATAATCATACTGAAAACAATAATGATGATGACAACGACAAAATTAAAACGACATAAACGTCCATGAAAGCAAAAGGTACATGGTTGAAAGTGTGTTCTACTTTGGTTGAGATCCCTTGATCTAATTATTGCCTTTTTCCTTTTTTTCTTGTAATAATCTGATTGAAATTTGGTGAAATGACTCAACCAGATGAAGATGAAGGTTATTATTTACAGGACGCTCAGTTGTTTGATCAGTGTTCTATGATCGCACAGCTGAACAGAACCAGACAGTGTATTACACTTTTTATAAGAAGCCTACAACAAGATCCGCAGGGAAACTGTAGGTTCGTGTCAAGTACTTTGTGATTGATTAATTTAACAAAGACTGAGGGAAATGTCGGTAGATATTAATGTCAAACATAGCATCACTGATGAGAGTCAAACAGTCAGCAAATACGGTGACAATAATAACAACAAATACAACAATAATCCGCTGTTTCGTTTTGTTTTCCTTTTTTTTCAACTCGTTTTAAGAAGTTCACAGATAGTTGATGAACCTGATTTTGTTTTTTCCCGTATTTTTCTGTCAGTGCCGGCTTAAAATTAGCGGTTCAAAATTAGAATTAATATCAACTTATCCATTTAAGGCAAGAAATATAACGTTCACGCATTTTTAGCAAAATTATTATCGTGTGCATGGGGAGATAAATATATTTATCCGGAGGTCGTTCAAATCTTAATTCGTATTTACTAGATTGGTCTGTGCGGAACACGAATAATTCTTATTCTTTTCCCTTCATCCAAAAGCGTGAAATACATTTACATGCAAGACTGTATTGTCTGCATGCTCCGATCCTGTCTTCAGAGGTATGGATTCATCTCTGAAGCTGACATTGAAGTACAAGCTGAAGAGTCCTTGAATCGCACAAACCCCGAGAATTTCTATTGTCGCGGCATGTTAGAGGCACCAAAAGCCTCCTCGGAGGATGAAGATCTTCAGTGCGATGAAGGCTTCTTTGAGGAAGAAGTAAAATGCCTAAAGGAATTCAACGATACTTTTATTGCCAATGTTTCGGATCCGACCCTTTGCAGGTAGGAATAATGCCAATGAAAAATAGAATATAAATTTTGCAGCATGAGATTTAGACGTTCATAATTGGCGCTCAATCTTACAAAAAACATGTAAGAGTTCAGAAATATTTTCATCGCCTAAATATGTCGAACACGAAGTATGAAAACCACACTTTTTATTCTATAGCTGTGCACTGTCGATGGAGGCAGGAAATTTGAGGGATTTAACAAATTCCTTTTGGTTCATGAAACCTGCTGTTTGTTTCATTTACAAATAGTGGGCATGTAAGGTTGAGTGAAGCGAAAGGTCAGAACACTTTTGTTCACGACATCTTTTATAAAGGGTTAGTAACAAGTTCTTAGAATTCGAGGGTCGCATAATCTTCCCATTTTATTGCGAAATCTCCTTCATCTCGAGTCTCAAATTTTTTCATACAGCCTGGCTGTATGAAAATAGGCTGGCGTTATCGTTGTTAGCAACGATAGTTAGTGCACAAGGCTCTTGCGTGAATGGAATTCATGGACTAATCTTAGTTATACTTCAGCAAAAAATATGTTTTGTGTAGAGGAAATTGTTTAGTCTTGTTCCTGCATGGCGGACAATGATCTCCACCCTCAGGCGGGTGTCAAATATTTACCATTTACCATCACTTGTTTCATGTACAGGTTTTTAACATTCCTTCAGCAAAAAATGTAGCTCTTCACATTTTGACTTTGAAAATTTTGAATTTATGTATGAATATTGTGCCCTTTCTCTAATTTAATTTCTGGCAGCAAATTTTCCGAATCTAAACAGTGCCTCAGAGATCTCATAACAACTCGCTGTCCAAGTGGGAGCAGAACATCTTCGCTTGAGTTCGCTTTGATATTTGATGATTACAATCCTTTTTGCTGGAGAGGCACTGATCAAGAACAAGGTACTCCCATACTTAGCCCCTATGATAATTAATTTGCTTTTCATTGTAGACTTGTTAGAAGCCCTTTTTTGACCATTCCAGTCTGCATGAAAGAGCAAAAACTTGTGCCTATTTTGAGACAATGATATGGGAATTGTCGTATCCAATGTCACTGCGTACCTACCCCTCCCCTAACTCAACATTAACCCTAAAATTGTTATGAGTTGAACATCGCCGAGTTAGGGGAGGGGTAGGGGCGCAGTTGCTCAGATATGACATCGATCCAAATTTTTGCTCAAATGAACTCCAGTTTGTATCTCAAAAGAGCATTTCTAAAGCTAAAAATTGATTTCCAAATCATGTAAATAAACCTTTTTAGCCTTAGGAATGTTTACCATCAAATTTCTCCTCAGACTACTGAATCACTCAGTAAGGTCGCGAAAATAAAGGAAATGCTCAGCAACTGAAGAAGCTCTTGATTTTTTAATAGTATGGAGAGTATGAAAGGAGAATATGCATACTGATGTCGAAAGGGTTTGAAGCGAAAAGACTCATTTTACTGTGCATTAGGTATTGCATATCCAATATCATAATTTCACTTTTTTTATGGAAGTCATGCACGTAATCAGTCCATGTCTTAACTATTTTTCTTTTTATTGTGGTCTTTTACTCTTCTTTCTCAGATGCAGCCCTCCCGTCGCCAACAGAAGAATTGAGCGACCCATGTTTAGCTGAATTTCCAACAGCCCCGTTATTATTGCGATCAAAAGGAAGAACTCTTTCTCAATCTCATTCTCTATCGTTTGTCCTTTTTTACAATCTTCTCGGCTACTTGACAACCTGGATAAGTCCTCTAAATCAGAGGTAATGCAAAAGCAAAAATCCACTAGATTAATTGTTTGTAAGTTTGCAGCAATATTTAATAAAGCATCATATTTAATTTAAGTAAATGAATGCCGTTAAAAGCCTGAATAGTTGTCTTTGTTGAGAACAGTACTTGTGTTTCGTGGTTTCTTTGGTTCATTTCACATAACAGAAGGACGCAAACAAACAAGCAAATAAATGACAAATAGTGATGATTGTTTCCCATTCTCCTTGGAAGGTTCCGGCTCACTTTGAACGGTTGCGTAGGATGTCCGACGGTTCATCTGATTTCAGACAGTCTCGTTTGATTTCGGAGAGTTACGTCTGATTTCGGATAGCTCCGTTTGATTTCGGAGAGTTCCGTTTGATTTCGGAGAGTTCCGTTGATTTTGGATAGTTTCGTTTAATTTCGGATAGTTCTTTTTTATTTTAGTCGGTTCTATCGGATTTTGGACTCTTCCGTCCGAAACGGTTTCAGTTAGAAGACCAAAATCGGAACAGAACAATTTTATTTTTAATATCGGACGAGCAATAAAACACAACTCTTAACTATTACAGACTGGCTGCCTCGAACAGCTCTCGAGGCAATTTGCTGTCTATGCTATACATGCTTATATCAGCATTATATTACACTGTTACAATGGTTTTTGTGTCTGTTGAAATTAAACAGGCAACGATTTTTATAAATACTAACGTGAAAAGCGTCATCAGGAATAAAAATTTGTGTACCATGTTCTTCAAGACTTTGAACACAAGTTTTGAAAATCTCCTCTTTCATTTCTTTTTGGTATTAGCTTCTTTGTCATCTTTCATCCGAGGAACTCTGATTCATAAAATTATGCATTGCAGCAGTCAGCCAATCACTTTCGGTTTACGAGCTTATATTTATATCTGATCGTTCTGCAAAGAAGAAACAAAAATTTAAAACCAAACCATCAGTCACGTGACACTACTTGTCTCAATCAAATGATCGTAGTCTCACTTTCCCTTTCTTAAATAGTCGTCATTATCAGATAGATATAAAGACGCATCGAAGTTCATTTTTCCCGTTTGCCGTTGCCTTAAAAATTACGCAAAAAGAAAAATATTAGCTTATGTTATGGTCAACAGTTCTTCATGGGCATCTACAATGCATTCTTGTCTCCCAGTTCTGTGGTTAAAGATTAGGACGCCATTGATGGAATCTCGTTCCAGTGCACTCTCAGAGTAACATCGCCACAGTCTCCCGGAAGTGGAGTTTACTCGACCGAACAGCGCTTTCATGGCGCTAGGGCAATTGTATGAATTGATGGCGTGCTTATCATTGCATCTGTCATCCCGAAGAGACTGAACTGTATAGTCTGGGAAAAATGCAGATATTACCGTTAACATCTATTCAGGAAGGTCAGGTGTTTAGCGGGGGGGGGGGGGGGGGGGG